TTTAGATTTATTGGTATTGCCCCAAGCAATATTTGCATAATTTATATGGCAATGGATTAAAGAGAAATATAATTGTGTTAAACTGTGTTTATTTAAAGTATTTCTAGCCTTGTACATTACTCCTATATTTCGAGCAACTTTGTTGCACAATAAATCGATGTGATACTTCCAACTAAGGTTTTCATCAATATTTATTCCTAAAAAGTTAGTAGTTTGTTCTCTTTTTATTTGAACTTTGTCAATAAAAAGTAAGGGCATCACAGGAGGTAGTAGCTTTTTTTTTGAAGTTTGATGAAAAAGTATCCATTTAGTTTTTTCAACATTTAGTGACAGCTTATTCGCTTTAAACCAGTCAGAAACTTTTGTTAATTCAATATTCATATTATGGAATAATGTTGTTATGTTGTTATGAGCTAAAAAAAGATTTGTATCGTCGGCAAACATGACCGTCATTAAATTTGAGGCTTTAGGGAGATCATTAATGTAAATTAAAAAGAGAAGAGGTCCTAGTATAGAACCTTGAGGGACCCCACATGCTATATTTAATAAATTGGAAGAGACAGTCGTATTACTGTAAACAAACTGTTTACGGTTGCTTAAATAACTTTTAAGAATCATTAAAATATTCCCTTTAATTCCATAATACTCTATTTTTTTAAATAGGATTTTGTGGTCGATGGTATCAAAGGCTTTCGATAAATCTATGAAAACACCTAACGTATATTGAGATTTTTCAAAAGATTCAGCAATATAGCGGGTAGTTTGGAGTATAGCGTGTTCGGTTGAATTACTTTTTTTAAATCCGTATTGATATTGATACAGTATATTATTTGAAGATAAATGATTGAAAATTATATTATATAAAATTCTTTCTAAAATTTTAGAAAAAACAGGCAAAATCGAAATAGGGCGATAATTTGAAACATTGGTTGAATTCCCCCCTTTAAATATTGGTGAAACTCTGGCTATTTTTAAATTGTCGGGGAAAATACCCTGTTTTATTGAACATTTGAAAATTTGAAATAGAATATCTTTAATGACTCCATACGAGTCGATAATAACATTGCAATAAATATCATCATAACCAACTGATTTATTAGATTTAAGCTTTTTAAAAGAAAGTTCAAATTCCTCAAAGGATAACTCAAAGGAGTTTAAGAACGAAGTTATTGGAAAAGCATAATTATTCAATTTGTTTTTCAAGATAGGAATTTGTTGGGCCAGATTAGGACCAACTGATACAAAATATTCATTTAATTTGTTAGCTATTGCAATTTGATCAAATGATGTTTCTTCATTAATCTTAATAGTTTTAGGCAATGAGCTCGTTTTTAATTTCTGCATGCCAGTGAGTTCTCTTAGAATTTCCCACGTACGTTTCGAATTAAGATTATTTCTATCAAGCAAATTAGAATAGTAAATTTTTTTTTCTTTTTTTTTCTGTCTTTCAAATTCTTTAGCGTATTTTTTATAGAGAACTTTATTTTGTTCAGTTTTTGTCTTTAAATATTTTACGTATAATTTTTGTTTAATTTTAGAGGATTTTTTTAGTTCTTTTGTGATCCAAGGTGACATTAAACTTTTAGCTTTTTTATTTACTATTTGTTTTGGAAAATTAGCATCGTATATTTCATAAAACGTTTTAAAAAACGTATTATAAACTAAATTAGCGTCAGCACAGGTATCTATTTGTTTCCAATGAAGATAAGATAATTGTTCTTTAAATGTTTTTAAATTATCATTAGAAAAAAAACGTTTTTTAAAAGTTTGTTTTTGTTGAGATATTATATCTGCGTCGATATTAATAGAGAAAAAAATAGGGAAGTGGTCCGAGACGTCACTTTTAATGATGCCTTTTTTTAGAGATTTATTGAAAAAAAAACAGTTGTTATAATATTGTCAATTAAGGTTTTTGATGTAGGAGTTATTCTTGTTTTAATTTTAATAGCATGAAAGATTTTAATCAAATATAAAATCTAATGTTATTTTTGTATTTTAACGCATAGTCGAGATATTTTTTACCTTAAATGCGTTAACTGCATTTTGTTATTGTTGCTTTTATACCTACATTATTTTTATATCCGAACACTTTTTAATGGTTTTATAATATGGGAGTACACTAGAACACTGTAAGAATTAGGTTTCTTTATAAAAGCATGTGAAATATATGAACTTTGATAAAGTTAACCATGTACCACCCTTTCCCTTTTTATTTAAAGTTTAGGTGTATAAAAATTTTACTCTAGCCATTCCTATTGAGATTTTTAATACCTTTACCTAATTTATACACTATGTTAGTTCTTAATTAGAAAAAAAAGTTGGATGTGGGGAGACATCAAACCTGGCGGTTATCGTGGTTCACTGTTAACTTCTTACAGTTGTTTATTATTTTAGTTTTTTAATGATGTTTCGTATTTTTTAAAGTGTTTTTAATGGGGCTAGGTTATAAGGCTAATTTATGTCTTCTTCTTGCTCCACCCAGTTAATTTATACATTGTAAATCCTATTGAAACTGCAAAATAAATAAAATAGTTATAAAAAAAAATTGTTTCCATAGCGTAGACCAAACATATTTTGGTTGCTATATTAAGTTATTAATCTTTTGACCAAAAAAATTTTAAATGTTCTGTTACGGTGTATGTTGTTTTTAGCATTACTTCCTTGATATAACTTGTAGTCATCAGCAAACAACTTAATGCTGCAATCACCATCAATATATGAAGTTACATCGTTTAAAAACACTAAAAGTAAGATGGGTTCCAAAACATTCCCTTAAGTTAGTCTGCCTTTTACAAAGGTTTTTTTTGAATACGACTTACCAACGCAAACATTGAGAACACATTGGTAGAGAAATAGTAATCAAGTTTAGAAAATAATACTGGATAAAAAAAACGATGCAGCTTGAACAGTAACTTAAAGTGAGTCACAGAATCAAAGGATTTCTTAATGTCTATATATACAATATCAACTATCTTTTATTAGCAGCAGTAGTCATTTAAAGTTGTCACCATCTGTGAACTCGTGGACATAAGCCAATCTGGTCGTATTAGTGGTGCAACAGAACTACAGCATTTAATTTTTGCCTTTGGCAATATTAGTTTTATTGACTAAGTCTTTTTCTCTGAAAATACAATATTTATTTATTTCTGCATTGTATAAACAAGAACAAACCATAAATTTGGTAAGAATGAATGTATTACCAGTTCTTTTGTATTCTCTAAAGAGAAAGCCATTTTTGGAGGCTAATTTATGGCTAGAGGTTGAATTCATATGCTATGATACATGTAGAGTTGCACTCGGAAATTTTTTTAAAATTAACTTGGTAAAAAAAACTTGGTTTTCAAAATACTGGTAACAGCACATGGAGGCTGATAAACAAATGAAAGTGAATATTTAGGTCAATGGATGAGATAAAAATGTCAACATATGTAATTTTAGTATTTTATGGTTTTTCTGGTATTTTAATATTATATAGAACTGAGTGGATATTATTACTATCTAGTACAAGTGAACCACCGTCTTTAATGTTTCGATCATGTTGAAATACTTTAAATTTATTTCCATTAAACAATGAAAAATCGGGTGTTTTTTTTATTTAGTCAAGATTTGGTTATGGAGTATGTAGCGAACATGCTGTTTTTAAGAAGAATGTGTAGATGATGCAGTTTACTTTTTGTTAATTTAACATCGAAGTAAGCACATTCTATGGTTTTAAAAGTTTATTTAAACTTAATTAGTTTTGTAAAATGGTTGGTAAAACAATTAGTACTGCTTTTAGAGTTAATATTCCAGATATCAATCGTAAATTGAACTGGTAATTGCTGTTTCTTGAGTTTAACTATCTTTTTATTTTAAATTTAGTCAAGATGATTGTTTATAAAATAAAGTTTTCATTCACACACATATGTTATTCTTGATCACTAAAGCCTTTTAACGTTCTAAATAAAAAATTTGCATAATTTTCTTTACTTTAATTTTATGAAATCTTATTTCAACAACCGCAAACAGAGCTGTTTTCTGTTTTCTATTGATTTTTTTAATTAATCATTTATTATTTACATGGCAGTAAATTTTAATGAATTAAAAAAACTCCTTAATTTTTATATCTTGTGATTACACTATTAATGCAAAAAAAAAAGGTGATTTTGAAAAAAAAGTATTAACATTTTTGCTTTGAACTATCAAGAGTCTCCAATATCTTGCATTATATTGCAAAAGTGTTGTTTTGTTAGATTAATTAAAAAGTTTTTAGTCAACATAGAAATAATTTTTCGGGTGTATTTCAGCCGAAAAATTAAAAACTTAATTGGAGTTTTGAATTTTTTGAATTCAAATTTCTAAATTCTTTAAACATTTTTACAACTGTAATATAATTTAAGCCTTTAACATGAAATTTTATAATTAAACAAACGTATAACTCCTATGTGCCTTATATAAAAGAGGAGGGGGGGGGGGAGGCAAAGAAGAATAAAAGATAAAGTAGGAACTTTAGTACAAATCTACTTAACGGAAGAGTCATAATAAAACGGTCTTATTAAAAAACCATACTTACAAAACACGAATAAAACAGTTTTAGTATGGCTTGCAGCCAAATACGCATTTTTTAACATGTTTTTCATCTTTATTTCAATAGAATTTATAATGTTTATATAAGTTTTATACTATGAGAAATAAACAAAAACCAAAGAACGAAAAGAAAATTCAATGTTTACCAGATTTTTCAATAGTTGACAAATTCTAAAGCCTAACTTTACTAAAAATTATTATTATTTTCAGCGACTGATATATTTCCTTACTTTTGAAATGTTGTTAATAATTGAGAACAAGTAAACCGTATTAAACGGGAGAGAGAGGGATCTCTATAAGCTTAGGGTAGGTGGGAAAAACTTATAATATTTAATAAACGTTCACTCCCATGTATTATGCACATAGGAATATAGTAAACACAAATAATTTAGAAATAAATATTTTACGGCATTTTACAGAAAAATAAATCTTACCAATTATAACTTTGCAAATAAATCCTAAAGAAAGATTGCAAAAATTATTACTCCAACCCTCTGATGTTGCTTCCACGCAGTCCATGTTATTTTGATTGTTTGGTGAATTAACTTTCCAGTTGAAGAATAGCAAACTTGCATTATCTGACCACTCATAAGTACCATTATTCTGAATATCATTTAAACCTATTTAATTAATGAGTTATAAACAATTTTACTTAACAAATTTAACTTATAAAAAAGTGACTTGAAAAATAGTATAAAAACTAATAAATTTTTTTAACCTAATATTTATCCATTCAAAAACTGCAAATCTTATTAGAGGGTTACATAGATTATTTATATAGATTATTTATATAGATTATTTATATAGATTATTTATATAGATTATTTATATAGATTATTTATATAGATTATTTATATAGATTATTTATATAGATTATTTATATAGATTATTTATATAGATTATTTATATAGATTATTTATATAGATTATTTATATAGATTATTTATATAGATTATTTATATAGATTATTTATATAGATTATTTATATAGATTATTTATATAGATTATTTATATAGATTATTTATATAGATTATTTATATAGATTATTTATATAGATTATTTATATAGATTATTTATATAGATTATTTATATAGATTATTTATATAGATTATTTATATAGATTATTTATATAGATTATTTATATAGATTATTTATATAGATTATTTATATAGATTATTTATATAGATTATTTATATAGATTATTTATATAGATTATTTATATAGATTATTTATATAGATTATTTATATAGATTATTTATATAGATTATATAGTTATATAGATACAGGTATATTATCAATAATTATGCGTTCAACAAACTCTGTTTTCTTTTCTTATAAAGATTATATTTTGAAAATTAAGGCATAGTGTTTATTAAAATTTTTATCTCATTTAAAAAGTTTGATTCCTAGAAGAATAAAATAAAGTTGTTTATATTAAGTATACATATCTACAGTTTTTATATATACACGGTGTTTTTAAAATAACTTTTATTAAAAGTTATTATTATAATTTTGAAGTACTTTGCTAATGCATAAATGTTATATTAAAATCTTTCTCAAACAATGAATATCTTTTATTCGTGGATTTTAAGGAACCTTTATGTACCAACAGGCCTAACTTTCTTTATATGATGTACAAACCCAACTTGCAGTTAAAGACTTGCCACTCCTTCGAACAGTTAATATAAAATAAAACTGAACCTCACCTTTAAACCAAAACTAATTATTTAACTAATTTACCTTACAAAATTAATTAAGATTCTGTATGAACGGATTCTGTTACTGATGATCACGTATCTGTTGATTAATGATTCTTTTGATGTTTTTTACCTATCTACCTAGCCTTTTTTAACCAGTATTTAGCATAAGTGATTTCAAAATTGTCACTGAGCAGAATGAAGCAAAAAGCGTTTTGTGACCTAAAAAATTCAAACCACTTTATGTGTTTTAAAACCACTTAACTCTATGATTGCCCCAAAGTCATATCTATATTAAGGTCTGAAGTTCCCGAAAAACGGTTCTTCGGTTCTTCGGTTCTTCGGTATTTTTCGGGGAATCGAAAGGAATCGAAGGTTTCGGTTCCTTATCAGAATAGGAATCGAAAAGAGCCGAAGTTATCGGTTTCTTATAAAAAAGGAATCGAAAAGAACCGAAGTTATCGGTTCCTTATCAAAATATGAATCGAAAAGAATCTAAGTTATCGGTTATTTATCAGAATAGGAATCGAAAAGAACCGTAAATTGATTACTAACCTTTTTTTTAATAATATACTTCCGTTATAATCAATATTTTCGATTCTTTTCAATATTTTCAATATTTTCGGTAATTTCGATTCTTTGTCATAAAAACGGTAAATTTCAATTATTAATTAAAAAATCAATTTTATTGTAAAGAATCGTTTTTATTTCAAATAAGTTTTAATAATGGCGTGCAAAATTAAATTCAAATTCATTCAAATTTAATTTCTCTCCCCTAAGGGATTAATTAAAAAATCGTTTTTATTGTAAAGAATCGTTTTTATTACAAATAGTTTTAATAATGGCGTGCGAAATCAAATTCAAATTCATTCAAACTTAATTTCCCTCTCCTAAGGGATTCCCCTTTACCAGTATAGATAGTGGGGTTTTGTGAAAATCTAATCAGTTACAATTTATTGTTTCACAAACAACTCTTAACAACAATTTACAATAATGTCTCAAGTTAATAATGCAATTTGGAGTTACTTTACCAAACTACCAGAAGTGACAGTGAATTCTGACACCAAAAAGAAAACTTATAAATCAAGTTGTAATCAATGTCAAGCAGTGTTAACTTGCTGCCATGGAAGTACATCAGGAATGAGTAAACATTTAAGGTAAGTAATGTTTTTTCAATTTTTTCGGTAATTTCGATTCTTTTCAATATTTTCAGAGTTTTTGCAATTTAAGTTAATATTAAGTAAAGATTTACTTTATAAAAAAATAAAAAAATAACAATAGTTCTGAATAATTAAATAAACATAAGCACTGATTATTATTTATTAAACAGTAACAGCTAACAGTAATACTGTTTGTTACATTTAATTTAATATAGCGCCATCTATAGGAGTTATTTCAATTTTTTCGATTCTTTTCAATATTTTCAATTATTTTGGTAATTTCGATTCCTATCCCTATAATTATTTAATTTAAATCTTTTTTTATACAGATCTCAGCATCCCATTCAAGCCAAAGCTTATATTAAGGCAAAGAATGACAAGGTAGTGCAACTGGCTGCTGACAGGGAGGAAGTTGAAAAGGAGCTTGATAGATCTTCAAGTTTGAGAGGTTTCTTTCCAGCCACAACCACTAGTAAAAAAAGGCTGGATAACCTTAGTAAAAAGTCTCCACCATCCAGTCAGCAAGGTGATCATGAAAAACTTCAAGTAACTCTGGATGAGTATGTTAAGGTGAGAAAAATATTGAAGTTTTTTAGTAGCTTAAATAATCGTTTTTATAACATTTTACCGTTTTTATTTGTAAACATTCGAATCAAAATCAAGCCCAAATTGGTAAATTGAAAAAAATATTTCTTCAAAAAAAACTCGGATCTTTTAGGCGCCGTTTGGGCCATGCAAAAAATATTTTTTTTCTCAATTTACCAATTCGGGCTTGATTTTGATGAAACTAATGTTAGAAATCTATTTTTATATTAAATTAGAAACTTTTGTGCCCTTTTCCAAATTTATAATATACTTTAAAGTTTAATAACTCTGTAAATTAATAAAAAGTTAAATTTCCACACTAGACAACAATTTAATGATTCCAAATTAATGTCCTTTTTGCTCTAAACTCAATATTAACAAAGTTATTGAGGTTTAAAGTTTTTGATTTGACCTGTCACCTAACACGTGCATGTAGATTTAGTAAACACGTGTTTTTCAAACGTTTCAAAACTTTAAAGGCTTTTAACTTTAAACTTCTTTGTTTTAATAGATAGAGTGATTAGCACTGTCTCTAGAAACTGCAACAACTTACCCATATATATTAGGTTGTCAGGTCTTGTTTAACGTAATTTCGATTCTTTGCGGTAATTTCGATAATTTCGATTCCTTTCGATATTTAACATTTTTTTTATTATTTCAGATAACTAAATGGGATTCACAAAGCAGCTGTCAGCTTGATTTTGATACAGTTCTCACTCTGGCCTGCATCATGTCAAATCTTCCTTTCAATATTGTGGAAACTCCAGGAATGAAGTTGCTCTTGAACTATTTGGCACCAAAAGCAATCATAAAAACACCAAAAACACTTGCTACAACAAAGCTTGACATGATTCATCGTAATGTTGAAAAGGCAATAACCAATCAACTTGAGGAAGAAGTACCAGAATGTGAAAGTGTAGCTTTTACATCAGATGGTTGGACTGCAAAAAATGGTGATCCTTTTGAATCTCTCACACTCCATTACATCAACAGTGATTTTGAGTTGAAAAAGTACAGTTTGGACTGCCAGGCTCATTTAAATAGGAAAACAGGTCCTTTACTTGCCAAAGGATTAGACACTATGATTTCAAAATATGAAGTCTTGGCAAGGCCTGACCTAGAAAGAACATGTGTGACTGATGGTGCAGCTAACATGAAGGCAGCTGTCAGTTTAGCAACTTTATTGGACAAGCAATTGGTGTGTGTTGATCACATGTTGAACAATTGTTTGAAAGACACATTAGGAAATGGTGAGGTTAAGGTAATTGTTGATAAGTGCAAGAGACTTGCTCAAAGGACACATCAAAGCACTAAGGATTGGTATGAAATCAAACAAGAATGTGAATCTCTAGGGTGTAATCCAATCAAGCTAATCCAACCAGTGCAAACAAGATGGAATTCAAATGCAATGCTGTTCAAGTCAGTGTTAAGAAATGAGCAAGGTTTGAAGTCTGTCAGAGATAACAGCCTGAATGCAAACTTGACAATACTTATACCAAGTGATGAAGATTTTCAAGTAATTGCAGAACTTCATCCTTTCTTGGCAAAATGTCAAGAATACTCAGAGATTTGGTCCTCAGATAAAACACCTACAGTTCACAAGATCCAGCAAAACCTCTTTTCATTGATTACTATGTGCCGTAGGACAGTTACACAAAATACTTCAGGTAAAAAATATTTTTTTGTGATTCTTTCGATTCTTACTAATAATTTCGATGATTATCAACAAATTATGCAATTATGATTATTTATTCATTTTTCTATTTTCCAGGTTCAAGAATTGCTAAAGATGCAATGACCAGGTTTATAGAACACTTGGAAACTAGGATTCCAGATAAAGGCACTGAAGTTAATGACTTTAATCTTGCAAGTGTGTTTGATCCATTTTATAGAGGTTATTCTATCACATTAATCAAGGGCAACAAAGATCATTTAGATGGAATAATAAACCAACTGGTAGATAATCATCCAACTACCAGAGAATACAATGAGGCTTATGAGGCTTCATTACCTTCTGCAATGCCAAACTTAGATGAAGATATGGATGATTTTGAGAGAATGGCCATGGAAAATGATGGAAATGACGCACCAACTTTGGCAGGACCATCAGAGCCTCCTCTGAAGATAGATATTCATTTTTATTAATAATAATTTCGATTCTTATAAATATTTCCGATACTTATAAATATCGATTCCTATACACATTTTCGATGCTTATACACATTTTAGATTTTTGCGGTAAATTCAAATTCAAATTTTTTTTTTAGATGGAATTTAAGAGGTACTTGTCTATGCAAAAGCCAGCTAAGGATGTGAAGGTTTTGGAATGGTGGAAGGTCAATCAAAAGGAACTGCCATTACTAGCTGCTATGGCAAGGAAGTACTTGTGTCCACCAGTGACTTCATGCTCTTCAGAAAGGCTATTTTCATTAGGAGGAAATATTATTAGTGATAAAAGACACAATATGAAGCCAGAGACCCTTCAAAAAATAATGTTCATAAAAGAAAACTTTCCACTAGTCAAATCAAAAATAAGGTCCTGGGACAAAAAATGCCCTGGTGAACCAGACTATCAGTCTCAACCTCTACCATCCACCTCTCAAGATCAACCTCTACCATCCACCTCTCAAGGTCAACCTTTATCATCAACTACACAGACTCAACCTCTACCATCACCTTCTCAGACTCAACCTCAACCATCTCCATCTACACTAACCCAATCAACCAAACAGAAAAAAATGAAAAGTTTTTTGAAACCAAATGAATCACAGTCTCAAAGTCTACTACAAAGAGCTAAAAAAAGGAAACTTGTACTTAAATCACCAATGAAAAAATCACCAATGAAAAAAAACCCTATATATGATGCATCTAAAGATTTATTTAATACTGAAGCTAGTGATAGTTCTACTAGAGTAGCTTATAGCAGTGCTAGTAGTAGTCGCAATGGCAGCAAGGACAGTGTCACTGATCTCACTGATAGTGATTTAGAATAAATGTATTTTTCAACTGTATTTCAACTGTATTTTTGAAAATAAAAATTAAAAAAATTCAAGTTTTTCAATTCTTAGTAACAATTTCGATTCTTTGTAGCATTTTCGATTTTTTGCGATATTTCCCGCTAAGAACCGAACTTAGAACCAAAATTTACGGTAATTTCGATTACTGCCTAAAATTAGGAATCGAAAAGAACCGAAGTTATCGGTTCTTATGAGAATCGGAATCAAAATTTACCGTAATAACGATTCTTTCTTAAAAAAAGGAATCGAAATTTACCGTAATAACGATTCTTGCCTAAAATAAGGAATCGAAAAGAACCGAAGTTATCAGTTTCTTTTCAAATTAGGAACCGAAATTTACCGAAGGCACCGTTTTTCGGTAATTCCAGTCTCTAATCTATATTTGTTTTATGCTTATCGCTGACTGCCTCTGTTGGGGAATTAGCCAAATTCGTCAGCATATTCAAAACTAAAACTACATGTTTGAAAAATGTTACAAGTAAAAATGACTTTTCGTTCAAAGTAACCTAGGAGATACTGTTAGCCTATATGATTATAGCAAATAACCTTAAAATGGACTTGTGCATTTTTCCTTTGGGAGCAGCAGTTAGAATTATTTTCTTTAACTGTCGTGGTGTATTTAGGCTTTAAAGACGAGTTGTTACTCATGCCTTTAACATATGGCATCTTTCGACTCTAATAAACTTTATTACTCTACACAAAACTCCACACCTTAAATGAAATTGTATCCGATTTTTACATTTTTGTAATGTCACAAACTAATTCCTCGGCAGGTTTTATTCGTGGCAGACCATATAGTGGCGTTCCTATCTTTTTTTATAATTCTTTTTTTAACAGAACTGAAGTTAATACTATTGATTATACTATATGTCTTGTGACTTATATGAAAGTTTCTATAAATACCCTTAATACTTCGCTTGTCAATCAACTTTTATTTTAAATAAAAGTGGTAAATTTGCTAAAATTACTTTAATTGTGATCACTGATTTCTCCAAGAACATCTTGTTTTAGCTGATAGCTGTCTTTTACATGATTCCATTACTTTTGTTAGTAAGGCATGGAGTAACACATTTCGGATTGATGATTGCCTTATATCCTAAAGTTCTCAATGCATAGTTAACAACTTTAATATAATTCAGTCTACCGGTACCACTTACCCTTCACATTTGATATATTATGTCAATATTATATTAGGTATACAATGTGATTATTCTTAGCTAACCTTTGCATGCTTAAATTTTATTTTTAAATAATATATTTTTCAGTGTAAATATTATTTAATTTATATAAATATAGTCAATTTTCTAAATATTTGACTGTAGGATTTCAATAATATTTTTTTAAAGTTAAGTTAAAGAAAAAAAAGTTTGATTTTACTAATTTGATTTCTAATATATTTAAGCGCTTTTTCTTTAGTTATTTTATTTGTTATTGTTTTTATGACTATTTAAATAATTGTATGTGACTCTATATATACAAACATAAATGTTTTTATAAGCTCTAAAATAAATAAAATAAGTACTATCTTGAAAGTGAAAAAATACTAGAGCTTGTCAAAACACTCAAATTAAATTGAAGTAATCGGGACAGATAAAAGCTTGATTGCTGAAAAATTTAATGATAAACTCAAATTTGTATTTATAATCATTCAATTAACAATAACATTCCACTACTTACAGATTGTTCAACTATCAAGTCTTCATTTTTTAAATGATGACATCAAAAGTAAATTATAAAATATAAACCAAGATAAAACAAATGGAATGAACAATATCTATCCAATGATATTAAAACCATATGCTGATATAATAGCTGTAACATCATAATTTTGTTTAACAAATCACTGTTAGAAAGATCAGTTACTCATGATGGCGTAATGCAAATGCCACTCCGTAATTTAAATAAGATGATACTAGTGAGAAACTTTTATATAATTACTAATTAATTATAGAATAGTTTCTCTTACATCTATTCCATTTAAAATAACGGTAAGTTTAGTAACCAATAGCATTGTAAATTATCTCTTAAAACTAAATTTGTGGTTTCATTTTCAACGTTTTTATTAAGAACTTTTGTTCTTATAAAAAAACCATCTGTACCATGTGTTACAAACTTAATAGAATGTAATGATTATGTAGCAAAATGCTTACCTAACAAAAATTGCAGTAGATGTGACATAGCATTTTCAATCACACTTGACACAAACTCTCACAATTAAATTATTCTGAAGCCTAAGGTATTGTTATAGACCTTTTTTATTCGATTATAGATTTTCTCACTAATAGAAAACAGATAGTAGTTCATGATGAACACATTTCTGACTCGGCCAATGTTACCAGCCTGGACCTACAAGGCTCCCTTTTAGGCCCAATACTCTTTATAATTTATATCAATGACTTGCCTGACAAACTAAAACACGTCTGTAAGCTATATGCATATGATTCTTAGTTAATGAATGAACTAATAGTAAATAATATTCTTAATGATAGGAGAAAGTGGGGAGAAGTAGGATACGTAAGTTTATTTTAGGGTAATTGCAATATTTTTTTATTTGATGTATAAATTGAAACCAACAATTTTTAACAAACAAACCTTCTTTTTAGGCATCGACTCAATCCTCTTAGGTCTCCAGGTAATTATAACTAAGTATTTAAACTTTTGCTTTTAAGTAACCTTGCAATTGGGGTAAAGTGGGAAAAGTAAAAGGAGAAGTGGGATAATTAAACTTAAAACAACATTTAAACACAAATTATAAAACAGAAACGAATAAAATCATAAAATTACCTAATTGACATAAAAATGTTCAAGAGCTTTCACCAATTGAAATAATCAAACGGCGACGGAAAAAAGCAGAGCATAAATATTTATTCTTCTGTGCCGTTTCATCCCAATGTAAACACTTTTTTAAGATACATGTCAAAATTAGGGCCTCTAGGACATGCAGGGAAAATAAACTATTTCTGCTAAAAAGAGGAGAAGAGATTTAATTGTTTACATTATATAACAATATTTAGGCACCACTCGTAACAAGAAATTTCAGGCTGTCCCACTTCTCCCACGTTCCACTTCTTTTCACACTTATGACATTTAAACTGATTTAAATAAAATCACTGAATGAGCAAAAAAATGTGTAATCAAGATCAACCTAGAAAAACGTAAGGTTATACATATAGGAAAAACAACCCACGTACTAACTATTCACTACAAGATAAAATCAACTATTTATATCATGTTTTAAATAAATCAGACGGAAAAAAAGATATTGGCATATTTTTTTCAAGTGATGCTTAATAATTTCACCAAGTTAATCATACAAGTAATAAAGCTAACAGATTACTTAGTATGCTAAAAAAGAGTTTGCATCAAGGGATTCGATTAATAGACCAAGTTATAAAAAACATGTCAGACCTAACCTGGAGTTTGCAATCAATGCTTGGTCTTTACAATTAAAGGTAAAATTAAAAAAAAATAAAAAATACACTCTACAAAAGTATCGACCATATGCAAAAATCTTGGTTAAATAGAGAGATGTATTTTGTGTCATTTTCAAAAACTAGAACAAGAAGAGAATTAATTCAAAAGATTAAAAAATAAAGAATTTGAATAATTAATTTGCACACTAAAATTATTATTCATCTAGCTCAAAGTAGCTAAAAAGAACAATTTTTACGAGAGTTTATTAGAAATTCAGATAAAAAAAAATTTTTTTGTGTGTTTTTATAAATTTAGAAAAAGCATCCTTTTGAAAAGTAACTTTAATAATGTATTAAAAAATGAAAATTTGATGAAGTTAGAAAATACAAATTTAACCCCGTAAATTGCCCTTCTTCACCTTTATTAGATGTTCTGGATCCACCAAACCAATAATGCACGTAAAAATTGCACAATCCACCTTACTAAATAGTCTGGATCCGCCCTTAAAACACGGCGATGTTATTTTTTAATAACATAATTCTTTTATATTGACAAACTAACTAACAGTATTGATTTATTGCTGTTTCATACTGCTTTTCAAAATAATAACTTAATACGCTTTTTAAAATAATTGTTTTTTATTGTCAATATGAACGGTGTATATATATATGAACTTCTTTTCTAGATATTAGTTGTACTGTGCCGTTAGGGCAGTAATGACGCCTTATTTCAAAATCGTTGTGAAATTATAATCATACCAATCCAGTAGCAATTTTTATCATTGTTAAGTTGTTTTACAACAAATGCATTTTCTTCTGAATCTGTTACACTTAGCAAATTTCCAGTATAACGTTGACATGTCATATGAGCATCAGTCCAATTTTTCCCTTGTAGACCCGCAGATACATTATGAAAAAAGTAGCAATAGTTTTTATGCTCTAACCATCCAATAGAACAATTACGTGCATAATTCACTAAAACAAAATGTCAATAAAACAGTAGTAGATAACAAATTTTAACAAATTTTGAAATAAATATTAACACATTTAATTTCATATATATTTTTTAAAAACCAGTTTTATCACTTTGATAATTAATGGAATTTGAAAAGTTAAATTTAATTAGTTAAATAAAGGTAAAGGAAAACTAATCTCTAAAAATAAATATTCTTAAAAAAAAAAAAAAAAATTTTCTGATTTTTGAATATTTTGCAAATCAGTATTCAAATTAACTATACATTTTAACTAACTAGAAAATCATTATATTACGTTCGGAAATAAAACTTCAATATCAAGGCTTTAATATCAACTATTATAGAAATGCTTATAAATTAAAAACTTTTACTTTTTAATTTATAGGCATTTCTATAACAGTTGATAATACGTCAACTATTCGCCTTTATATTCTTTAACAGCTTAGCAACGAGTTTTTATGTTCTAAATTAAGTTTTAAAGTTAATCTTTCGATATTTTATTCAAAACTTTGAGACTCTTAAAGCTCAGATCTTTTGACTGAAAATTTATACTAATGGCATAAACATGCTTTGCCGTGATCCCAAAGGATTTTCAATGGAATGCAAGTCTGATGACTTAGTAGGCGAGTCTAAAACACTGATGAAAAACAATTGAAATTTGTCTGATGCTGCTTTTACTTATTAATTTAAAAAGTTTTTTATTGATGAAGGAAAACAACACCAGGCTTTTCTTTTTTTTCATTATCAATATAAAAGGTTCTATATTGATAAAGGAAAACTACCGCGGAACATTCTTTTTTTTTTTTAACTTCAGTAGGCTTAAAGATTACATCAATTTAATAACATTATTTAATATGGTTTGTTTAATAGATGTTAAACCACAACAAGAAAGTTTTATGAGAAAATCATGCAATTTAAATTAAAATGACCGTCACTATCATGACAATAAAGAGCAAAGACATTTTTTAATCGCGAAAAATTGCAAAGACATTTTAAAATCGAGAAAAGTTGTACTTGTGCGGTTTGGGCGGTAAAAAAACCATTGTGGAATTAAAAGAATAAGAGTTGAATTTGAGCCCAACTTATTTCAAAAACATAGAAAAATAATAAAAATGATATTTTAGTAAGCTATTAATACTTAGTCTGAAATGTTATCATTCTAGTTTATCTGCAAAAAACTAATAATATAAATATTTTACGTCATACTCTTTAAAGCCTGTTATAACAGTTGGAAGTTCACAGTGAGTTTTGATAGACAAAATTAAAGTTGAAAATTATTACTTTTTTAGTTAAAATTTTTTCTAAAATTATGAGGTTGAAAAGCTGCGGGATAACGTCATGTGCTATAAAAAAAAATAGAACATCCAGAACATAAAAATATTATTCATTTTTGAAGATCTTGCATAATAAGAACTTTTTTTATTATGCAAGATCTTCAAAAATTCCGTATTTTCAGGTTTTTGAAAATATGGAATTTTTGTCGCTTTTTTTATTATTTCCAATCACTGTGCAATAGCCGTACTACAATGCTATACAACCGTCATTAGTACTACAGCCAAAGCATCATTTTAAAGAAGATTTTTAAAGGAGATTACGCAGATGAATAAACTATATCCTCTGCAAATTTGTTCTAACGGTTTACAACTTGGCATTGTAGTACATGATAGCGTTTGAATCAATGTGAGTCATCTGCATCCTGTGTATATATATTTCAACGGTTTACAACTTGATTTTGGAAATAGTAATAACATTTGAATGTAGCTGATTCATGTAATTTGTTGAATTTTTAAACTTCGCTACTTTTTTTTAAATTTTATGCCGATTGTAAGAAGAAAGACTCTTAATGCGCAATATAAAATTCAACCAATTGTAAAAGGTGAGCAATTTTGTTTTGTAAAATTCGGTCACAACAATTTCTGTTTTTTTTTTAGTACTGTTAAACTATGTATTTTTAATCTTTAATCATAACTAAAATGATTTTTTGACAATTTTGTTTTTGTTGCATTTTGCAGGACACATTCGAGAAAAGCGATTCCTGATTTAAGATTAGGAGACGAGACCTGCGCACTAAACTGCGGTTGAACGTATAGCTGATACACCTTTTTTCCAAAGCTGAAGACTTAGACATTCTGATTATTTGAAGAATCAGAGAAATATTGATTGATTATAGTTACTCCAAGGATCTTGCTATCATAGGCGTATACTTATATGGTTATTGATTAATCTAGTATTCGAGTTCCATAGATTCCGCTTCGACAACGAAGATAAGAATGAAAACTTAGCCGCGAGTCTATGGCAATTATCGCTGTTCAGTGAGCATGAATTATTGGCCTAAATATTGCACAAGTGAGGATGATTTATTTACAATGTGCGGTTTGTGTTTTGGTTTAGCACGTGGGATTGGTTGTAAATAATGTACTAATTTGACTAGCATAATAAATTGACATTAAAATGTCAATTTACTTTAACTTTTTTTAAAATGACTTTATGTTTAAACAAAAACAAACTTTCCGGGATATAATCAAACAAAACAAAACGAAATTTCCGGTATATATTTCAAACTAAACAGAACTTCCTGTATATACTCAACAAAAATTTAATAAACACTATTTACCGTGTTTCCATTACTCTCATATGGATAAATTGCTTTATAAGGTTTAAGTTGTCTAGGTCGGCACTTAAAGCTGGCTATATCTACCTTTTATGTATACATAAAAAGTAAATATATTTAAAACTTTCCCCAATATCTTTATTAAATCTCTATTGAATTTATTTTAGGAGATTTAAAATGGTGCTTTTGGAAATCACGTCAGAAAAAGAAAAAGTATCGACTTTAATACTTTTTTTTTTTTTTTGCTTTTAAAACACAGATTGAAACTTTGTAGACATGACAATACTTCAAGAGTTTCAATTCCATAATGTAACATAATGTTAGACAAAAATAATCTAAATTGCATGAAATCGATAAATTCGATATGTCAATTGTATGTACAGTGCATGAAATTGATAAAGTCAATATGTCAATTGTAGCAATCCGTCTACTTAGTTCATATATAATGATGAGATAAGAATACTTTTAATAGAACATGGCCCAAAATAAGTTAAACAGTTTGACACTTTTTTTCTTTGCATACTTTCTGACGCCAGTATGAAAAGAAAAAAAGCCAGCTTGTCAATTGAGATAAACTTTGCAGACATTGGCTACAGTGTTCTCTAAGTAAAGACTCTGTGTATTGCTTATGCTGCAAGTTGTTTACCAATAGCACAATAGGTGCGTCATTCTTTTCTTCTAATGGTTCACAGGATTGGTAAAACATGTCCACAGTTCTGTCAGGACATGAGAAAAGCGTTAGGCATCTACCAAATTTTTACTCATATTAAGGGTTGTAGTTGCAACTGCAAAACAATAAAACAATTTATGCCTAACATTTGCGTTTTGGTAAAAAAGATAAACAGTATTGTAGAAAATCTTGATTCGGATGATGCTTTTATTACAATTCTTTGTATGTAAAATCTTCGTTTCGTGGAACACACGAAAAACTGAACACTGCTTATAACCTAAACTTTTTGAAAAATTTGGAATTTGAAACTTTGTTTGACCCACTGAGAGATGATAATTTTTGAAATGTTAAAGACAAAAAAACACATGCTTAATACCTAGTCAAAGACATATAAAATGAATTGATTCATCTTTTATTTAAAGCAATCAAACTAAAAGTTTTAACATCTGCTTGTTATGCTAATTACTTGTCAATCATTATGATTATTTGCTTTGATCATTTGTTTTGTGGATATCCAGATAATAAAATGGTCGTAATAGCACCTGTAAATCAAAATTTTTTAAATTTTATAAATCTATAGGAGACAACTAATGCTGGTAGGGCTGAAACTACTATTAAACAGTTGGGTAGGATGTCTATTTATTGAAAACTTACGGGGTCAATGATATGACAATGGCAGAAAAAAAAAGAGGAAAAAAAGGTTGTCCAAAGAAGAATTTTGAATTTCATTCTCCTTGCATTGTTTATTTCTTACTGTGCAAATACATTGAATTTAGCTGTTAATGACGTTGTTAAATGTTGTTTAGAAGCAACAGACTCCTTTAGTCTGGTGCAACATGCATTATATTGTCGCTGGGAAATTATAAACTCAACATTTTTCTAATCTCACTGTTAAATCACTGAGTGAAACAAGATTAAAAAGATAAATTAATGCTGTTAAACCTCTCCATAATCAAGTTGGTGATATTTACAATACCCTTGCAGAGATTGCGGACTATTCAAGCTTTAAAAGAGCATCTTGTAACCTAAAAAGAGCAGATGCAGGGTTTATTGCAAATACCATTTCTAATTTTAAGTTTGTCGCTTCTCTGGTTATGTGGTATGACGTGTTGTGTAAGATCAACATGACTTGTGAGCACCTTCAGGCAAAATAGTTAGATTTGCATGATGCCATAAATCATCTTGAAAAAACAAAGAAATTTCTTGTAAATCGCAGAAAATGCACTTTTCGAACCTAAATCAATCTGTATCAGAAAAATGAATAAACAATTTACATATAAAGGAGATGAAAAATCAATTCAAGACCCATAAGAAAAGTTCAAAATAAACTTTTGTTTTGCTACTCGTGCAAACAATAAGTTTGTCGTTTGGTTTGGTTTTCAATATGATGATCACAGTTTACAGAGTTTTAACAGCAAAGAAGTAATGGGACATTGATTGACTCTTGAGAAGGCTTTGCAATATAAAGACTCCAAAGATATTGACGCATTTAATCTATGTAGTGAACTGAAATCAATTTCAACATAAGTTGCAAGGTGTAAATTACTACCAGATTTACTAAATGATATTTTTTTAAATAATCTAACAGATTTTTCAATCCATTGTTGATCTTTACACAATGTTTAGTTTATAATATTGCGCCAATATTGTTTGCTACTTGGGTATATAAAATATAGTTTTACAATAAAATGTAGTTTAAATTTGTATATTTCTGAATTAA